CACTGACATATATACATTACTACATGTAAAATAGATAGCTAGTGGGAAACAGCTGCATAGCACAGGGAGATCAGCTCAGTGCTTTGTGACCACCTAGAGGGTGGGATAAGGAGGGTGGGAGGAAGACTCGAGAGGGAGGGGATATGGGGATATACCTATGCATTTGGCTGATTCACTTTGTTATACAGCAGAAACTAACACAACATTGTAAAGCAATTATACTCCAATAGAGATGTGTAAAAAAAAAGAATAGATGATGGCAGGCCCCATATTTCCTAAATTAACTGATCAGGGGAACAGAAGTGCTTCTGTGTTCCTATTCCACTGTTTGGGTTTGAATGAGGTCTGAACTTAATAGGGTTGGCAGGAGGAACCACTGGAAATTCTTAATCAACAGAGTGACAGGACAAGACTTCAAAAAGAGGCATGAGCAGTAAAGAGAAAGACAGAGTAGGAGAGACAGGGAGGCTGTTAAGAGGGACTTAGGCCAGAGGAGATGCATGTGCAGACCTAGAAGAACCTGTAGCCATGACCCTCCACTGTCTGATCTCACTAACTCTCCCTCATGCATTTGAACTCTGCTCTTTCTGTTTCCCTAGTGGTTCCACTTACGCCCTGCCCCTTCTTTCTCTGTGCCCCTGCTTAGAATGTCCTTGTCCATCCCATCTGTCTATCCATATTCCACACATTTTTCAAGACCAGCTCACATCGCCTTCCCTACAAAGCTTTCCCTGATTGTTTATTCCAATCCACAATAATCTGTCCTCTTTGTGAATTCTCAGTTTTTCGTTAAAGGCAGGTCTACTTTTCTGACACTGATATGTCCTTAAAAATACCTATAGTTTACTTTTCATCTTGATAATCCACTGGTGAGTCCCTTTCCCAGCAGGTCTCAGGAAAATGATCAACTCTAGTATAATTTTCATCGTTCTAGATTCAAGAGGCCATCTTGTGGCGAAAAGGGTAAATGCATGCTTTGCAAATAGGAAACTCTTGAGGCCATAATAGCACCTGCAGGAGAAGGGAAATCTATATGACTTTTGTCTTTTTGTTTTTACAGTTCTCCTTTCTGATACAGTTTCTGAAACACAGAATACATTACAATAAAAATCAAGAATTATCTGTGTAAACGACTCAGTCGCTTTCTAATTATTCTACCCATCTACCTGCTAGTAAGTTCTTTAATGGCTGTTCAAATAACATTTGCCAAACATCTATTAATACAATGCTCACAAGGTTGGGGTCTTGTAAGGTGAGTTCAGGTTTTAAAAGGGTCAATTAATCTATGAAGGTAGCATTTCTCAGAGTGTTCCGTGGAAAACTAGTCCCTAAAGTTGGCCTGAGGAAAAAAAGGGTTCCTTGGCCAAATTGGTTTGCAAAGCCCTGAATACTGTGACTTTAGCACAGATATTCCCATTGCACATTAATAAGTCAGAGGATCTGAGAAGTCCTGAAATGAGAGAACCTGTTTAACCCGGTTTAACCCAATGTTTGCCAAGCTTACTTGACCATAAAGCTCTTTTAAAGTTACATCAATTGGGCTTCCCTGGTGGTGCAGTGGTTAAGAATCTGCCTGCCAATGCAGGAACACGGGTTTGAGCCCTGGTCCGGGAAGATCCCACATGCCGTGGAGCAACTAAGCCCATGCACCACAACTACTGAGCCTGCGCTCTAGAGCCCGTGAGACACAACTACTGAGCCCGTGAGACACAACTACTGAGCCCGTGTGCCACAACTACTGAAGCCCACGCGCCTAGAGCCCGTGCTCTGCAACAAGAGAAGCCACCGCAATGAGAAGCCCACGTACCGCAACGAAGAGTAGCCTACACTCACTGCAACTAGAGAAAGTCCGTGCGCAGCAACAAAGACCCAACGCAGCCAAAAATAAATAAAATAAATAAATTTATAAAAAAATAAAATAAAGTTACATCAATTAACATTCTGCAGAACGATTGTTTCAGTGTTCCACGCACTTAGAAAACACTGCCTTGAGGTAATTTAGCTCAGGGTTTTTTGAATGGAGCTGAGATTTTATCAAAAGATAACGTAAAATGTGCCAAACCCACATTCCCACTGCTTCAAGTCCTTTGCTGAACCAGGTTGGGTATTAAAAGAATAAAATCCAACTCCTACCTCCTCCATAGTAAAAATAGCAAGGACTCATATACGCTTACTTTGTGCCAGGCACTATTCTAACCATGTCACATATTTAATCCTCATAATAATAACATCTGCCTGACACTTAAATACTATCTTCCATTACTCCATTTTCCAAGCAAGGTAACTGAGGAACAAAGAGGATAAGTAACTTGCCCGAGGTCGCTGTTTAGCAAAGAGTAGAGTGGGCATTTGAACCAAGGCAGGTTGGCTCCTGAGTCTGTGTTCTTACCCAGGAAGCCCCCCTTCCACGCCAACCCGCCAGCCCTTGTCTTAGAGCAAACACTCAGCTCCATGCTGCCCTTGGAATTGCTTTCCATGGATGGATGGTGAACAGTGTGCAGCAACTTCAGGAACACTCTCATATTCCAGATGGGGGAAAAAAGGCACAGACAGGACCAAAGGCAGCCTTTCTCTACTCGGGCTCTCACTTCCACCCCCTTGCTGTGTGTGGACACAGAGATTTAGCAGTTGAGCATCACCTGATCGGCCTGCCTGCCAACCATGGGGGGTGGAGAGGGACTCATTTCTCTGGTCTGAGACTGGTGGTGATGTGGAAAGAATGAGCCATTTTCTCAATAAAATTTAAATCCCCAACACCAAAAAGAGAACTGTCTGATAAAACCGTTTCAAAGTAAGTGGACTGAGAAACGTTTTTGTGTTAAAGATGATACAATTCATCATATTTACCCTGAGAAAAGGGCCGTTTCCAAAATTGTGATGTTAAGGTATTATGAAAAAGGCCACATTTTGTAATTGAAGATCTTACATGGTCAGTCCAGGGAAGAAAATAAATCAGATTACTCAATAACAAAGTTTGTTCAGAAGTGCAGTGTTATAATTGGTCACCAAAATGCAGTGCCTCTGAAATTTTGGCAAAAAAATTCAAATCCTTCAATGACTTAGATAATAAAAGAATGCTTAAGTACAGTTGCAGTGATTTCATTTTCTGACTTTAAAAAGCCATCACTTTTTTAAAAACTCATAAAATATGCCCCACACACATTCTGATTTTCCTGAGGTGACCCTCAAACAAAACTAAATCTTCCACACTGGAGCAGAGGAATTGGACCCTGAAGACTCTTGGGGTGAGACAGCCTCAAAAGTGCCCCCACCTAGCGCCAGGAGACTTCTGGTAAGTTCCTAGACTCCTCTGAGCCTCGATTTCTTCAAATGGGGACCCTAATACTACTTCCCTTAAAATTTAACAGAAAAAATTCCTCAAGGTCCCTAGAACGGTCATTCCCCTCAAGAAGGCACTAGATTCATTTAAAACAGCTGTTGCTGGCACAGCTCAAGAAACAAGGATCAACTCCTCACTCTCATCCCAGCTGCCTCCTACCCTCCCGCCCTCATCAGCTTTCCTTCGTACCTCAGCACTAGGGTTGCTAGATTCTCAAATGTGGTTTTTAGTTACGGTAGCTCTCCTAGTGCACTGATAGCTACTATGTTTATCAGAGGAAAAGATGCTCTTTCAAACTTTTGGGAAAATACAGCAGCTGGTTGGTTCCTCCTGCTCTAAGGCAGGGTTTCTCCGTCTTGGCGTGATTGACATTTGGGGCTGTCCTGCGCATATGAAGGATGTTTAGCAGCATCCTGGTCTCCTCCCACTAGATGCCAGTGTGCTGCCCGGGAGGTCTCCAGACATTGCCACATGTCCTCTGAGGGGTTCTCCAGGTTGAGAACCACTGCTCTGACTTGAAAGTTTTGAGCCCGAACCCTGAAACCTGAATATTTTCTTCCTGGCTGAAAACTGAAATGAAAGGAAACTCTAAAGAGTAGCCTTCGGATACTTGGTGGTCTCTCTCCCTCTCGCAACTCCCAGCATATCAGCAGCCTTCATGTAAGTGCTCGCACATGAGGTAGGTGGCCAAACTCAAATGATTCCAAATTTCCTCCCCCTGCCAGCTATAGAATGGGCATCGCACAGGAAAGAGATCTGAGCACAGGTCGTCCAGGGAAATGCAATACTTTTATTCCGAGAGAAGGAAAACTGGGAAGAAAGAATGTTATCTTTATGTACATTAGCCAGCAAGCAGTGGGACCCTGGAAACCGTCTTTGAATGGCCTACACTATCTTCAAACCTGAACGGGAAAGGGAAAGTATCCCAAGAACTGGGTAGCTTTGTTAATGAAGTTTTCAAATGCATAATGTGAAAAATATCTAGGTAAATGAGACAATAAAAGTATGTGTCTTGGGGCTTCCTTGGTGGTGCAGTGGTTGAGAGTCCGCCTGCCGATGCAGGGGACATGGGTTTGTGCCCCGGTCCGGGAAGATCCCACATGCCGTGGAGCGGCTGGGCCCGTGAGCCATGGCCGCTGAGCCTGCGCGTCGGGAGCCTGTGCTCCGCAACGGGAGAGGCCACAACAGTGAGAGGCCCGCGTACAGCAAAAAAAAAAAAAAAAGTATGTGTCTAGGTTGCTGTGGGTGGGCAGGGATAGGTAGCGCACAAGAGATTTTAGGGCAGGGAAGCTATTCTGTATGATACTACAATGGTGGATATGTGACTTTATGCCTTTGTCAAAACTCGTAGAACTGTACAACACAAGAGTAAACCCTGATGTAAACTATGGACTTTAGCTAATAATAATATATCGATATTGACTCAGCAATTACAACAAATGTACCACACCAGTGTAAGATGTTAGTAACAGGGGAGACGGGGCAGGGCGGGGTATTGCTGGTGTATGGGACTGTCTGCACTTTCTGTTTTATTTTTCTGGAAATAGAAAACTGCTCTAAAAAATAAAGTTATTAACTGTTTTTAAAAGTGAGTATTTGGAAAAGCAGAGGTCAGAGAAAGAAAGGAATCATCTCTGTAAATATTTGTAATGTAACATACCCTTCTTGTGTTAGATAATGCAAAATCAAAATAAGAAGATTTTTTCGTCGTGCTTCTGTCCTCATCTCGCACTATGAACAAAAAAGAAATTGTAGGTGAGACGATAATGAAATATAACACTCCTTTTATAGCAATAAACCCTTGATGGTAAATGTAACCTGTCAAAAGCAAGAAGCATAACTTAAAGGCTGGAAGGCAGTTTGACGTCTCTAAGGATATATAAAGTTGTTTTCCATTGTTATTTTCTTCTCAGAGCTGCCTTCTCAATTGTAAACTGAAGGTACAGTGATTTCGATTGGGATTGCACTTGACTAGTTAACTTCTTACTGCCAAGCTAATTGGTATTTTGTTGCTTATCACCGCAGAGAAACAAATATATGCACATTTACTTGGACCAGGTGAAGGAAAGTGATGATAAACTCATGAGCCAGAAATCAAGATGTACCATCACAGGTACTGACTTGCTACTGCAACTTAAATTCACTCGGAGTCCCACCCAGACCCTGCACAAACGTGGAGATGAGTTCCAATAATCCATTCAGGGGGACCCGGCAGCTGAGCACTTAGAATATCCACTGAGTAGCAGAGGCCATAAAGGGGACATTCCTGCATAACAATGTACTTATTCAAACTGGATGAATTTGCACTTTTATTCACAGTATTAATGTGCTACATTATGTTACCTGGTATCTCAAATTCCCCTGAAATATATTCAGAAAATATTTACTTTCACTAATACTTCCCTTACTTGAAAATAACTTACATTTATCTAAGGAGAACACAGGTAAGAACTGGATGAAAGCAAAAAAGGCCCTTGAGTGGCCCAAATTATGTCATAAAATCTAGGCACAAACACACTGATGACATAAAAAATTTTCAGGCATTCATCTAAACTTTCTAAAAATTAATGTAATAAAATTAAAAGTGCATAGTTACTTAAAAATCAAATAGTGCTATATTTTCTTTCATTTTAAGTTGCTTTTTCATTGTGATAAAATACACATAAAATTTACCATCTTAACCATTTTTAAGTGTACAGTTTCGTGGCGTTAAGTATATTCAAATTGCGCAACTATCACTACCATCCATCTTCAGGACTTTTTATCTTCCCCAACTAAAACTCTATATTCTTTAGACAATAACTCCATCCCCGTAACCCCTGCCATCACCATTCTACTTCCTGTCTCAGTGAATTTGCCTATTCCAGGTTCCTCGTATAGGGGGAACTCATTTGTCCTTTTGTGACTGGCTTATTTCACTTACAATAATGTCATCAAGGTTCATCCATGCTGTAGCATGTGTGTGGCTCAGTAATATGGTACTATACATTTGTAAGGAAAAACAGTAATCTCTGTCCCACTCCACTACCCCCTCCCCCCACTCCTGAGAGGCAACAACCTTAATTACTTTAGCTGTTTCTTCTGATATTTGCCTCCATGTTTTTAAACATATCACTGTTTTATAATATATGAATATTAGACATTAAACTATTCACTTCTTGTTAAGGCAGATGAGCAGTAAGCTGCCTTACAGACCTCTCACCCTCTCCTCCCCCTTACAGTTATAGCAGTATGCAGTGATTACATTATTATGACTGTGTAAATAATGTTGCTGAGTCAAAAAGTACTGTGGTTACTTTACCATTTCTGGACAACATTATTTTCCTTGGAATGAAGAATTGCCTCATGTTAAAAATTTGGTTACTTTTCTATATACCTATTGCTAATTTTCAAATCCCCACATACCTCTAAAGGCCCCTCGCATCACTTTCCACACATCAAATACATCAGTCAATGTGTCAGTTACACTCCCCCCAGCCATGGCTTCCCTGAAGCCTCCACCCTCCCTCTCCACTCTAGGTTGCTGACTGTTAGGCCTGCTATGGGTGCTCATCCAGGGATTTCCCTTTGACACTTTCCTGCATTGGATCCCCTAGAAATGGAGTCTTCTTTACTGGTCACTGGTTTGGTTTAGTAAAGCACACATCCGCTAAAGTAAAGGTACACGGAGATAAATGTGGTTGAGAATTTGCATGCCTGCAAGTGTTTTTATTCTATTTAAAAATCTGATAGTTTGAAAGGGCATAACATTCTTATTCCTTTGCAGATAAAGGATCTTTTATTCCCAGGAAGCTTTTAGAATCTTATTTTTAACTCTGGTGCTCTGAAATTATACAACTTCGTTGGTGCCAGCCTTTTTCCATTCACTGTGCTGGCCGTTGACAAGCTGGACATTCTCATGCTTCCGTTCTAAAAGAAAATGCCTTTTATTATTTCTGTGATAAATTACTCCCCTATGTTTTCTCCAGTTTATTTTTAAGAACCTCTATTAATTGAACAGGATATAACCTGGATTGATCTTTTATCTTTTAAGATTTTTTTCTCCTATAGTGTCCCTTTTCTTTGTCTCTTTTTTCTATTTTCTGGGCAACCTCCTTGGCCTTGTCTTTGAACCACTCTCCAGAATTTATTTAGACAATAATATTTTTAACTTCCAAGAGCTTGTTCTTTTTTTTTTTCCAAGAGCTTGTTCTTATTTTCTGATTGTTCCTTTTCACAACATCTTGTTCTTTTTTTTTAAGACATATAGCAGTTTCCCAATATTTATTTGTTTGTTTGTTTGTTTTTGCCACACCATGCGTCACATGGGATCTTGGTTCCCCGAACAGGGATAGAACCTGCGCCCCCTGCATTGGAAGTGCAGAGTCTTAACCACTGGACTGCCAGGGAACTCCCTTGTTGTTTTTTGAATGCACTATTCTCTTACGATTCAATGTCAGTTATGTTCAATATTTGCTGTTTATGTAGGCAGGTAAAACACTATTTTATAAAGATATCCATCCAAAATTATTAAATAAATATTTATTAAAATAAAGTTTTGTTGCTTAAGGTAATAAGTTTTTATTCAGACTGCCAGAAAATAAAGAAAATGAAGCAACCTGTGTTTCAAAGAGCTTGTGAAGGAAGTATAGTAAGTACCACTTTTTCAACGAAAAGGTATTCTGGTTTCTGCCACTCAAAAGGTAGTTATTGTGGTTGAGAGTCCGCCTGCCGATGCAGGGGACACGGGTTTGTGCCCCGGTCCAGGAGGATCCCACATGTCGCGGAGCGGCTGGGCCCGTGAGCCATGGCCGCTGGGCCTGTGCGTACAGAGGCTGTGCTCCACGACGGGAGGGGCCACAACAGTGAGAGGCCCGCGTACCAAAAAAAAAAAAAAAATTCATTAAAAGGTAGTTATTGCTGTTTTAAAAAATCAATTTGCATTTTATTTATCACAGTTTTATACACATTTTGTTGTTGTTTTTGTTAGTTTAATGTTTTGCTTTGAATTCAGGCTAAAATAAATGAAATCAAGTTCTCAGAAGTCTAAGAGAAAAGGAGATTTAAGGAAAATTATAATCCTTGAAGTAATAAAATATATAACACAAAAAATAGACTGGGATAAAATAGACTGGGATAAAATATTTACAAATGACACATCTGATAAAGAACTATTATTAAAAATATACAAAGAGCTCTTAAAACTCCACAATAAGAAAATAAACAACCCAATTAAAAATGGGCAAAAGAGATGAACAGACACCTCACAAAAGGAGATATATGGATGGTAAATAAATATATAAAAAGATGCTCAACATCATATGTCACCAGGGAATGACAAATTAAAACAACAAGAAGATAGCACTGCACACCTCTTAGAATGGTGAAAATCCAAAACACTAACACCACCACATGCCGGTGAGGATGTAGAGCAATGGGAACTCTCATTTATTGCTGGTGGGAATGCAAAACAGTACAGCCACTTTGGAAGACATTTTGGTGGTTTCTTACAAAATTAAGCATACCCTTACCATATGATCCAGCAGTCACACTCCTTGGTATTTACTCCAGAGTTGAAAACTTATGTTTACACACAAACTTGCACACTGAAGCTGCGGATGCAGCTTTATTCATAATTGCCGAAAGCAACCAAAATGCCCTTCAGTAGATGAATGGATAAATAAATGTGGTACATCCACACAATGGAATATTAATCAGTAGTAAAAAAATAATAATAAACTACCAAGCCATGAAAAGACATGTAGGAAACTTAGATGCATATTACGAAGTAAAAAAAGCCAATGTGAAAAGGTTACAATGCAAGAAATTTTCACATATTGAGGTATGGGGAAGTCATTCTGGCATATACGTGATTTGGCTTGAATAGAATAGCCTGTTCTGCAGCCTATCAGACAAATTGTACGCCTGCTTTAACCATTAAGGAAAAGATGCGTTTAAAAATCAAAACGGAGTAACTGGTTCAGGCATCCAAAGTGGAGCCTGGTGGTCATTGTGGATATGGTTTCAGACACGTTCCTGCGTTACTAAGAACTTGAATTTCTGAACTGTACCAGACTCAAGGACACCACCAGCCATTCTCAAAACAAGATCTGCTAGCAGCTGCAACCATTTTGGACCCAACCAATACTTACTTAACAAGCACCCTTACTTCTTGCCAGCCCCAATCATAATTCGTGATAAACAATTCATGTTAACTAGTTGTAACCTTGCAATTTTTGCCTTTACAATCCTCCCCCATTTTGTAGTCCTGCAGAACATAATTCAAATGCTTCTTGAGTCTGTGTCTCCTGGACTATAGTCCTCAATTTGGCTCAAATAAAACTCCTTTTCAGTCCTTTTATAGATTATTTATTGGCTATTTGTGTCAACAGCTTTATACTGTATGTTTCCAACTATATGACATTCTGGAAAAGGCAAAACTATGATGACAGTAAAAAGATATTGGTGGCCAGTTTGGGGGAGAGGGAGGGAGGCAGAGCACAGAGAATTTCAGGGCAGTGAAATTATTCTATATGATACTATCATGGTGCCTACATGTCATTAAAGATTTGTCAAAATCCATAAAATGTGCACCAGAAGTGAACTCTAATGTAAACTACGGACTCTGAGTGACAATGACGTGTCAAAGTAGGTTCATCTGACACAGGAGGTTGATACTGGGGAAGCTGGTGCATGTGTGGGGCAGCTTTCCACTCAATTTTTTTTTTTTGCGGTACACGGGCCTCTCACTG